TTGGGTTGAATTAAACTCAGAACCTTATCTTTACCTGATTTAGATAATGTAGTTTGGATGGTGAGATTTGGGACTTCGGAGTAGAATGAACATTTTGGATTTAGAATTGATGCTGTAATGTGTTGAGATTTGGGGTAATGTTGCCATTTTTGCACATGGACCAGAGGCTGTACAATGGTAGGCAGAATAATGACTCCCTCAAAGAAGTCCAGGTCCTCATCCCTGGCACCTGTTAATATATTATGTGACATGGAAAAGGGGAATTAAGACGGCAGATGGAATTCAGGCTGCTAATCAGTTTACCTTTCCATAGATGGGCTATCCTGGATTATCCGAATGGGCCCCAATGCAATCACCAGGGCCCTGAATGTGTAGGGGTGGTCGAAGGGGAGAAGGGGAACCAGAGAGAGGGCAGAGTGAGGACTGGCCCAGTGTTGCTTGGCTTTGAGTTGGAGGAAGAAGGGCAGAAACCAAGGGATGCAGGCGGCCTCTACAAACCGGAAAAGCTTCTCCCTGGAGCCTCCAGATCAGTAAGATAGTAAATTTGTGTCCGTTTAACCCGCCAACCTTGTGGTAATTTGTTAGCACAGAAGTATAAAATGAATAGAAGTCCTGGCTTGCAGTTTACTCTTCTAATATCTTAGACAAGTTGTTTCATCTTTGCATTCCTTAGTATTCCTTATTTCTAAAATCAATAATGATAACTGCTATAAGGATCAAAAGTGTCAAAGTGCCAGGCACATAGGTGGCTCAATAAGTCTGAATTTCCAGGTTGCCCCCTCTACTCCTTCCAGGTTGAAGAAAGATGGGGAAGGAAATGAGGGGCCACAGACCATTCTCAACAATGCACCTCCTTTCTTTGAGGTTGTCTGTGTGAAAGTCGCCCTCCTGAGCTCCCAAACACACCTTATCTAGCAATGCTCCTTATCTGCCTTTGGGGATCCACAGCTCCCCCCTTCCTGGTGAAACCCCTCTTAGAACAAAACTGCCCTTTAGAGGAGCCTGAGGTCTGATCTTTTCAGAGTGCAGTCAAGATGTGTTGTAGGTGGAAGCTGCATTCACCTCTTCCCATGACCACATAGAAATTACAACTGAATTATACAATGATCAACCTCGATAACCATCTGAAGACTAGCTGAACAAGTCCTATAACTAAGGATATAAGAAGCCACTCTGAGACTGGTGAGAGAGGCAGAGATGTGCCTGGGGTGACCCTGCACCCATGTGTGGTGGTTGAAAATTGGAAGGGATCTCAGCTGCAGAGGTCCCCAAGGAATAAGGGGTCTCAGCCCCACACCAGAATACCTGTGCTAGGCAAAGGGGCCCACATAACATCTGGCTATGAAAAAGCAGGGATTCTGTCTGTCTGGATGAGAGGGAAGGCTGCTGGAAACCCAGGCACCCTCTTAAAGGGTCAGCACACCAACTCTCACTCCCAGGCATTCACCTTGGGTTCCATAGGAGAGTCAGAGGCTTGAGGGGCACCACAGACATACAGGGAGAAACTGAGTTGTTTGGCTTTGAGGCGAGGTCCGGCAGGGCAGGCACCATTGACCCTGGGTAAGCCCTCTTCATTGCACAACGGATCATTAACCTGGGTTAGCCTAGTGAACTTCACTAGCTCCACTTAATGATTCAGAGGCCCCGTCCTACCCAACTCAACTTCTGATGCCCTACCTAGCTGAGGTGAAAAGGGAGGCTGGGCTTCTGGGCTCCACAGGCCACCTACCACATAGGGCCACCCTAACAAGACTGGGAGTCAGCAGATCTACCTAAAACACAGAAACAAACAGAGGCAGCCAAAATGAGGAGACAAAGAAACATGCTCCAAATGAGAGAACAGGAGAAATCTCCAGAAAAAGAGCTAAATGTAATGCAGGCAAGCAATCTATCAGATACAAAGGTCAAAATAATGGTTATAAGACTGCTCAAGGAACTTAGGGGAAGAATAGATCAACTCATTGAGAACTTCAACATAGATAGTAAGCATAAAGTAGACATAAAAATAACCAGTCAGAAATGAAGACTACAGTAACTGAAATGAATGAATCAACAGCACATTAGATGAAACAGAGGATCAAATGAGTGAATTGGGAAACAGGGTAGCAGAAGACACCCAATCAGAAAAGCAAAAAGAAAAAAATATTTTTTGAAAAAAATGAGGATAGTTTAAGGGATCTCTGGGATAATAGCAAGCATAACATTGCATCATGGGGGTACCAGAAGGAGAAAAGAGCAAGGGTTACTTATAACAGCCAAGATATGGAAGCAATCCAAGTGCCCACCAATAGATGAATGGATAATGTAGTACATACATAGAACTGAATATTACTTGGCCATAAAAAAGAATGAGAGCTTTTCATTTGCAACAACATGGTTGGACTTAGAGGGTAATATGCTGAGATAAGTCAGACATAGGCAAAAACTATATGACTTCACTTATGTGGAATCTAAAGAACAAAATAAAAACAAACAAAACAGAAAGACTTGCAGATATGGAGAACAGCTTGAGGGTTGCCAATTTGGGGGCCGAGGAAAAGGTATTAAGTACAAGTGGTAGTGATAAAACAGTCATGGGGATGTAAAGTACAACATAGGGAATATATTCAATACTATTGTAATAACTATGTATGGTGCCAGGTTATACTTGAATTATTGCAGGGATCACTTTGTAAATTGTGTAATTGTCTATTCACTATGCTGTACACCTGAAACTAATCCTATATAATAAAAGCCTAATATGCAAATCGACCAAATGGCCAAACCAGCGGAAAGACCTGTCACTATGATGCACACTGACCACCAGGGGGCAGACACTCAATGCAGGAGCTGCCCCCAGCCCCCAGCCCCAGACCAGTGGCAGCGGTGGGGGTGGGGTCAGCAAGCGGGTGGCACCAAGCCAGCCAAGGTGGGTGCCAGCGCCCCCCCGCCCCGATCGCCCCACTGGTGGCCCCACAGATAGGCCCTGATCACCTGCCACGCCTAGGGACCCTACCAGTGCACGAATTTCATGCACCGGGCCTCTAGTATAAAATAATACTAAATGACAACTGTAATTGGGAAAAAAAAAGAGTCTGAGATGAAAGCTTGGCAAACAGGCTTTCAGAGATAAAGAACAGCTTTGACATCTGTACCCATATGACGTCCATCATATTTCCCACTGAAAGAACCAGGAGTTGGTGCCTTGAGTTAAGGCAAGCCCATTCACAGAGATGGGCCTGCTATTCCCCCTCCTCTCACCCACATACCCAAGGCAAACATCCCTCAAACATGCCAGGCTTCCAACTCCTTAATTAGTTGTGTTATGAGCTTTTATTTAAAAAGCACATTTAATACAAGTATAGTTTCGCAGATACAAGTTTTCACTTTGTATTCTACAAAAGTCTTTGAATATTATTCTCTTTACAAAATGGAACCTTACAAAAATACTGACAATTTAATGTTTTTATACAGTTTTCTCTAGTTGCAGTTATTTCTTTTATTGTAAAACAATGTCTACCACAGAACTACAATATTTTAGTTGATATTAAAAAAATTAACTCAATGCTTTTTTAAGCAGCTAATGAAATAACACAGGTCGAGACACAGTTTATAATCATAGTGGATATAGCTAAAATTGTTTCAGAAATAATATTTTACATAGTTAACTTTTAATGTTTTATACATTATTTATATAATATTTATATATAAAAATCATAGCTTGCTATATGTTGAAATGACAGGACGGCTTCTGTGGTAAAGATGTGCTTGTGGTTGATCCTTGTGGTTACATTTAGCCCGGTGTGCATCTGAGATCTGAAAGCATTTCTTCCTTCCTCCTTTCCTCAAAGGTTCAGTAGAAGGGGTCCTGCCTACTGCTTAGAGTGGACCTCACCTGGGAGGACGGATACAGGATGAAAACTCTCTACGGAGATTTAACCCATGTGTTCTGCCCAGCAGAACCTACCAAGATCTGCCCTAGAGATCAACCCCAAGACAGTAGTGCTTTACACAACTTAGCAAGAGCGACTCCCTCAGAGACCCTCATCAGCTCTGTTATCTGGAAGGGCAACCTCTCAGGCATGAGACCGTCTGCTACTCTGGCTCATCCTGACTTTGAGTAGCCAAAAGGTTGGTTCATTTTTCATTCTTGCCCCTTCACTCCCCCATCTCGTGTACGGAAGGCTGCTTTCCATCAGCCGGCTGCAGACCACGCCTTGGCTCGTCTCCGGACCCTCGCAGGAAATCCTGATGGGCACAGAGCAAGGATTTCAAGGGGGAAAGCAGTAAACAAAGCTAGCCATTACTAAGAGCGTGCAAGTGCCCGGGTGATTGATATACGTCAGCATCCTGCAATCCATGTTTCAACAACACAGGATGATGTGTCCAAAGAAGACAAATGAGGGCCTGGACCCTCGATCTCTTCTGAAATTGTGCTATTTGTGAAATTCACTCATCCACAAAGAGTCTCCTAATCACTAATGTGAGGGACTGTGGTGTTGGCTGATGGGCCAGGAAGTGGGTGATAAGGCTTTAGGTCTAAGAATCTGGATTCAGGATCTGATCGTTTGACGAAGCATTTGCTCTTTCTCTGTATTAAACAACAACAACACTTAAAAACAACAACATCCTGAACCAAAGTCACAGTAAAAGATAGAGTGGTGTGGACAGAGAGACGCAAGAGGGGAGTCTCCCCCCCCAATGGCTATTTTCTTTCTTCAGTGCTATTTCTGGCATCACGTGCTACAATGTGAATTTGAGCTTTTCTCACAAGCCTGGGACACATCTCAGGTCACAAAGGTGACCGGCAGACTCTACTCAAAACCTTTTAGTGTTTGTTCCAGAACAAGCCCGTGTTCACTAGAACATGAACACTTCAACCAACTGCACATCCAGGATTCTGGCACTTGGTGTTAGTTTGCTGTTGTCTCCACATAGGTGAACACTACCTATTTTGGAAGGCCACAAGTAAGACTTTTTTTTTTCCTTTGTAAAATCAGTTGGGTAAAAAGTTTTTCCCTAGCAAGACCTTGCTGTCAGCAGTCATTTTACAAGAACAGCTCAGGAGGCGGGCGGCGCCTACACCATGTTGTGGTGATTGTTCCTGTCGATAATGTCCACAGGTGAGAGGATCTCCTTCCTGATGGGGGGAGACAGGGAGAGTGCCGTCTTGGTCTTGAAGAGGTCGGACACGAAGAAAACCTAGAAGGACACATCAGAGATCCAAGTCAGAAATTGACACCTGGGGTCTGGGGACAACAAAGGGAAGGTGACAAGAGCATGGACTTCAGGAAAAAGGGGGTCCCAACCCATAGATCTTTGACTAGGGAAGGACCCTAAAGAGCATGCAGTCCAACTCTTACTGTACAGACAGGGAAACCAGGCTCAGGGAAGGGCCATGATGTGTCCCAGGTTGCACAGCCACGGTAGGAATAGAGCTCAGTTCTGTGGACTCCCAGCCCACTGCTCTGCATCTTCAACCCCACTCCCTTATTTCTCAAGGCAAATGAACAGCAATGAAAAATAAGTTCCTAAGCAAAGGAAGCGGGTCCAAATGGGTCAGTCATTAATCCATGATCATTTCCCTTGCCTCACAAAGAACTTGAGGGTGTAACCGAAGAGATTGGCCACTAGGAATTCCTATCAGCAGGAGCTGGAGTAAGGAAGTCAATGTGACTACTTTTCCTGGAAGCCCAGTGATAGCAAAAGTTTGACGGGGGTCAAGAAGCTAGGGTTTGTTGCTGAGGGAGATGGCAACTAACCCAGAGGAAAGGTCAATGAAAACCTGCCTATCGCTCCACCCAGGTCCTTCCTCCCTCTGAGCTTCGACCTCACTGGGTCTCCGTGGAGTCACTGAGGAACATTTACTGAACACCCACCAGCAAGGGGGTCAGGATGGCGCAGGTGTAGTTCCTGTCTCAATTAGCTTCCGATGAAAGATTCAAGAATTTGGTGAGTTACCAGAGTAAGAAAAATGTATGCTTTGTATTAGATGGCAAAGTAAACACAGACATCAATTTGAGCCATTTAGCAACAGGAGTTTGTATTAAGTCACCATAAGCGGCACCTATCGGTCATGCCATTTAATAGGAAACACATGGCTGGGCTTCAAAACGGGGAATGAAACACTTTCACAGTTCCTCTGTCTAATGGCTTTCTGGATGGAAAAGTCTTTGTCCTGCAGAGGGTAATGTTCTCACGATTAATGATGGCACTGTGACTCATTCCGGACACATTCTGGGCAAGAAAATAAAGTTCTTCATAAAACTTCACCAACGTCACGGCTCTCGCAGCCAGCGACTGGCCATACTAAGGACTTGGGTCATTTGTGGAGCCAATTGCCACAATGTCCCTTCTGTAGTAACGCAACAATTAGCAAAGTGCTACAAAAATCACAGCAAGAAACTGGTGACGCTGACTACTCCAGGAGGACTGGGTGACTAGAAGACAGACTTACCGATCACCACAAACCCCTTTACCTCCTTTGAATTTTGGACCCATGACACCAGTTTTTCCCATACATTTGTAAAAAGAAAGAAGGCCAGGCTATTTCTATGCTACTATAAGAAGGTAAAATAGCCTAAAAATGTAAGATTTTAATACACTGACAGCCTCAGTGCTCTTGAATGTACCACTGTACAAAGGAAAAAATTTGGCTTTGTGTCCCTGTCCTTTCTAAGGAGGTATGGCTAGGGAGAACTGTGACCCAGAAAGGTTTGTCCCCTAGCCAGAGCCACACCTGGGAAGCAAGAATGAAAAGATCAGTTCAGCCCTAACCGGTTTGGCTCAGTGAATAGCGCATCAGCCTGTGGACTCAAGGGTCCCAGGTTCGATTCCGGTCAAGGGCATGTACCTTGGTTGTGGGCACATCCCCAGTAGCGAGTGTG